AAACTGTTGTAGAGGGCGTAGTAGGCAACTGCCAGGGGTAAATGATGATGGGGGACCTTTGAGCTTTCTCTAAAAAGAGGTTTGGTAATAGATAATACATATTTTAAGAAAAAGAGGATAAGTATATTAGATATGATGTAGGGCGTAATTATAACAGTTTGTTAGACTATGTATTGGTGGATAAAATGTTGATGGGTAGACTTCTGGATGTGCATATTTATAGGCAACACCTATATCAGATAATTTTTTGGTTGTGACTGCAGTGAGAGTAAGAGGTAGATGGGGTATAAGGAGAATACCATCAATGAGTAAGAGAGGTGAAAGTTTATAAACTAGGGGAGGTAGTTAGGGTAAAATATCAATAACTATTGAGAGAAAGATGGACTAATGAGAGTACAGGTAGTGAGGTTGAAGAAGTATGGAGTAGATTTAAGAGTGCAGTGTTAGTGTGCAGCAGACGTTTGTGGATATAGAAGGGTGTGTGTGCAGGAGGAAAGAGAAGCAAATGGTGGAATGAAATAGCATATGAGGGGTTTTTACAAACAAAAGTGATATAAGGACGGTGGAGTATATGGAGAGTAAAAGAGAGGTCAAGAGAGTAGTGAGACAGTGTAACAGGAGAGAAATGAGAGTGGGTGAGGTTCTATTAAATTTTACTGAGAACAAGAAAAAGTGTTGGAGTGAGATTAACAGATTGAGAAAGCCTAGGGAACGAATGGATTTAACAGTTTAAAACAGAAAAGAGGAGTTATTAGATAGGGAGGTGGAGGTATTGGGATGATGGGAATATTTTGAGCTGTTAATGGTTGGTACTCTTTTCAGTAAATGTACGAAAGAGAGGAGAGTACCAAAAGATTGGCCGAGAGCATGCATAGTTCGTTTGTATAAGGGAAAGTGGGACAAAATATAGTATAAAAATTATAAGGGAATAAACCTGTTGAATATACCAGGTAAAGTGTTGTTATTGAAAGAATTAAGGGTAAGACGGAGAGCAAGATCGCAGGTGAACAAGGAGACTTTAGGAAGGGTAGATGATTTGTAGACCAAGTGTTTACAATGAAGCATGTAAGTGAACGCTATTTACATAAAGGTAAGGAAGTTTTCGCTGTATTTATGGATTTAGAAAAGGCATATGAAAAGGTGAATATGGGAGCAATTTGGCAGATGTTCCAAGTGTATAGAATAGGTGGTAGGTTACTGAAAGCAGTTAAGAGTTATGAGGATAGTGAGTCTCAGGTTAATGTATGTAGAAGAGAGGGAGATTATTTTCCAGTAAAAGTAGGCCTTAGACAGGGATGCGTGATGTCATCATAATTGTTTAATATTTTTATAGATAGGGTTGTAAGGGTGTTGGGGAGAGGTGTGGGATTGGAAGATAAAGAATCTAAAACAACATGGGAGTTGCCAGTTGCATTTTTTTGACTGATGACACTGCGCTTTGGGGAGATTGTGAAGAGAAGTTGCAAAGGTTGGTTGACGAATTTGGAAGGGTATGTAAAAGAAGGAAATTAAAAGTGAGCATAGGAAAGAGAAAGGTGATGAGGATAAATAAAATAGGTAATGAAAGATTGGAAGGAGAGTGTGGAGGAACTGAATGTGTTCAGATATTTGGGAGTGGACTTGCCAGCAGATGGGTCTTTGAAAGACGAGGTGAACCATAGAATTGAGGGGAGGGGGGGAAGGTGGGCGGTGCATTGAGGCTTCTTTGAAGACACAACGTTATCATAGAAGCAATAAAGGGCAGTGTATGAGAGTATAGTGGTGCCAACTCTTATGGGTGTGAAGCATGGGTTGTGAATGTTGCAGCGAGGAGGCTGGAAACAGTGTTGTATCTGAGGCCAATGCCTGGTGTAAATATGCAGAGAATTCGTAGTTAGGAGGAGGTGCGAGGTAACTAAAAGTATTATTCAGAATACTGAGGAGGGGTTGTTTAGGTGGTTTGGACATTTAGAAAGAATGGAGCAAAATATGATAACTTGGAGGATGTATAAATCTGTAGTGGAGCGAAGGCAGAGTAGGGATTACCCTAGGATAGTTTGGTGAGAGGGGAGTAAAGAGGTTTTGTATGCAAGGGGCTTGGACATTCAGCAGTTGTGTGTGTGAGGGTGTTAGTAGTGGAGTGTGAGCAGGAGTGTGAGCTGTATGACAGTTCTTGATACCCTTACACAGTTTTTTTCTTTCTCCGCTCTCTACATTTCTCTTTCCATTTCGCCTTTCTGTCTACCTTTAAAGGGAAGAAGGTAAAAAGGAGGGATAAAGGAAGGTATGAGAGGAGGGATAAAGGGAGGGATTGAAGAGGAGTTAAACTAAGGAAAGCTGGAAGGGAAGATAAGGGAAAGGGGATTAAAGGAGAAGAGGGATAAAATTAAGGGGGAATTAAAGAAGGGGAATTGAAAGGGAGGAGGCGATGATGGAAGGGGGTTAAATGGGAGCGGGAGAGAGAAGTGAAAGAGTGGGATTTAAGGAAAGAGGATTTAAAGGGGAAGGTTAGTTGAATGAGAGTAGTAGTTAAGGGAGAGGGGTAATATCAGTCATGAGTCTCCTGACATATCCCTAAGATAACCGTCTTCCGTTAAACTCTCTCAAGCACGTTGATGACAGTCTTACCCGTTAGTAACACGTCCGTTCTCCGTTGTTGATAATCTTGTACGTCGTCTGTTGGTAAAAGTCTTATCCGTCGTACAGTATTATTGTAATTATATTTTTTAAGCAAAATATTATCCGCAGGATGCTGATGTACTAGTCTGTATGATAGTTACATAGTGGGGAGAACATAAGATGTCACATTCCATCACATGGGATGTCTTGCATGCATGGGGTATTGAATGACATCAGTAAGGCGATGAAGATATCGTCAAACATGTTACTGTGCCATAGACTATGGCTTTTGTAGCCATGGTGGCGATAGTAGTGGTAGGTGAGGGCAATTGTTGTCACGTTTGGGTGGTGGTGGTAGGTAGAGGAAATCGTAATGTCATGGTAGGTGGTAGAATACGATAATATATGAAATTAGGTCTGTTAAGACTATATAAAATTTCTACTTTTTTAATATTTGGAATCACATTCCTAACATTTACATTGATGTATTTGAATACGAAGACAGTAATTCAGCTGAATTTGCCAATCTATAGAAGCTGCCTATACTCTCGATAGTTGGGCAATTGTTCGTTTTCTTTTTGGGAGCGAATCGACAGGTGTGAGAATTATTTAGCTCTTTCAGTCTGTTGGTGAAGCAGGGAAATGAATTCACCGTTCGCGATCGCTTACGTGCGCGCGTGCGTATTTGTTTACGTGCGTTGTTGATCATGATGTATAACGGGTCGCAGAGTATGAAGGTACGTGCTCATATACGTGTATAAAGAGACGTACTCATAATTGTATGAAGGTACCTGTATAAAAGTGCATACAGTACTCTATTACGTATTGTAATACTTGTATAATGGTACGTACCTCTATACATGTATAAAGGCATGTACATATATACGTGTAGAAATGTACATATTCGCAAACATCACCACTACAAACGTGTATCATCCTTTGCAGAAGATACTAGAATATGTATGAGAGCGGCATCCACGGAGGACACTGCAAATCTCCAAGCTGACATAAACCAAGTCTTCCAGCGGCACACAGGAAACAGTATGATGTTCAGCGAGGATAAATTTCAGATACTCTGCTGTGGGAAAATTGAAGAACTAAAAAACGTACACAGTGTACGAGAAAACCCATTCAACAAGGCGGAGGAGAAATATCGACACCTATGTGTAATGATGTTGAAAGATTTTGCGTTGAAGGATCACAATTATCATCGAATCTGCAAAGAAAATATTAGAATAGATAAGAACCTCGAAGCGAGAGATGATACTCAGAAGCAACTAGTACTTTCCAAACAAAACCAGTTTAAGGTAGGGAGAATATCACCCCTCCTCCCCCTCCAAAAAAAAATAAAACTTTCATCAATTCAGTCAAATCCTAAATTATTGGGAACGAGTGAAGTCAAACTGTATGTCCTTGAACGCAGCAACTAAGATACATCATGATCTATACATGGAAAAATACTAGTGTGACCGGTTCCAAATTTGCGGGAGGCATTGGTCAGTTATACAAAATACAAGAAATGAAAAGAAGAAGAATTTTGTGGTTGCCCACAATGGCGTTTGTTGTTCAGAATTTTTTCGGTGATTGGCTATCTGTCATCCTGCTGTCTTATCTGTCACATATCTCTTGTTTATCTTTTATCATGATGCTACATCTTTCATCTATCGTCTTTGGAGATACACGTTGCAGAAAAAGCTTATACTCAGACAAATTTTTGCTCTAAATAGAGCTTTATCACCGATAAACTCTTGCTTTACAATGTTTACCTTCCTTTCACTACTGTACGTCATTTGGAAGTAGTTTACCTTCTATGGTGCTGCTTTGTTTTGTTTTCCCTTCCTGTCTTCGCGTGCTAATCCGCTTGTACATACTTTAATAACTTCGGGATATTTTTGCAAATCACATTATAAGGCTGGCAATACATTTTAGACACACTAACAACGCATTTTAAGCACGCATATATACAAAGCATTTTAGACACGTTGGCATCATATTTTAGACACTGGAACACCACTTTCACGTATTCCAGACATGCCACCCACTAAAACATGTAATTTTAAAATATCAGTTTCGGCGTCAGGAGTGTGTGTGTTCCCTGCCGCCCATGTATATAAAACAGGAGCTTTCACTTCTATATTTACTGGATTTTGTTTCTTGGTAACTTTTGATTTGTTTCAGTTCCAAACTATCTTAAGTCACATTTGGGGAAGTAATTTAAACTTGCAAGTTTAGTTTTATCCCGCAAAATCCTCTGTAAACCCAATGGGATTTTTAAATCACCATAGGTAAACAAATGCCAGGTAGAATGATAGACCAGCAGAAAACACGTAGTATATATATATTTTCTGTGATAGTATAACTTCTTTACAACACTTCGGCTCTAAGGGTAATAAATCACAATAGGAGATAATTATAATTTATTTACTATGTAAATTTCCATTGAATATCATAAAATGCAAAAATCTTCTCCCCTCCGTCCCTCTATAACAGTCTGAGTTGTAAAGACTTAACGAACTTGAATTATTAAAAAAGATTGAAGGATTATAAGGGTAAACTGAATGGGCATGAATTTACTTAAGAAAGAAAAGTGATGTTCTGTTGTTGAGTGGGAAGAGGGGTTAATAGTTACAAGATTTTATCTATGTGTAGGTGAGTATTTTGAGCACATCTCTTTTGTTTGGTTCATTTTTCTCATTTTCTTCTAGGAAAGCGTCATTTTTTAAGAAAATAGAGATCCCATTTAGATATAAAATAAACAATAGTTTTGTGTGACTTTAAGAATAGATCACAATATTTCAAACAAAATATGTGGTTCTGTGTTTTCTTTGGGTGTTATGAACTCAAAATTTAAAAAAATAAATTCCCCGTAACATTGGAAAAGGACATTCAACTTTGACTTGGCTAACTGGATTTATTGCTCATCACTGACTGACAATGATCAGGTTCATGGTGTAAATTATTAAACATGTTAACAAATATGCTTATCACTGATGTCTGGCCTCTTGGATCTTGTCATACTCTTGAAACTGTGTATTATGTGTGCTCTCACTAAACCAATCCATCTCTACGATTCTTAATCTTTATACAAAGTAAATGAGGCAACTAAATCTTCAACTACTGTCAATGTGATAAGTAGTGTGGGTGAGGAGAGAGATCAAAGTTGTCACCAGTAAATGTGAAATATCTCGCCGCCTCTCGCTGGTTTTACTGTTGGTTATGATGCTTACATTTTGGGCCTTATTGGTCGGGCTGCAGGTAGTTCTCCATCTCTGGATCCTGCTGCTGTTCCTCCTGCTGCTGTTGGTAGAAGACCTTAATGTCATCTGGAGTCAGCACGCCCACATCAACGAGCTTTTCCAGTTGTTGGCGGATTGGATCATCCTGTGAAGACAATTCAGTGATCTTCTTTGTTTCGAAATTCATGAAAAACTATTCTTAATTTTTTAAAAGTGTTATAAACAGTTATACACAATCGCCTCATACTTACATTTGGAAATTCCATGATGTCTCCACCTACAAATTCCTTCTTGGCTCCATTTAAAAAAAAATTCCTTGACTGTCAACCTACTTAAATATTACCCCACTGCTTCTAGTGAGAATTATCTTCCACTGTAAGTTTAAGCACTGTCTTCCCGTAACTCAAGGCAGGTGCAGCGATGCTAGTGATGGACTGCTTACTGAGGGACTAAGATCTACTCTGCCCCAGATCAAATCTAATTACCTCAGCTTCCCCAGGTTCTCCATAACCCATACGTGTTTAGTTCCTTCTCTGAATATATAAGAGGAATATTCTCCCAAATTAAACTCACCTGATACCATTTCTCTTGGAAACAGTTTGTACTTACTTCGAAAAAGTTTGGCATTGCTTCTTCGATGTGAGCGTTGTCCTGGGGTTTGCTGTGTTCCTCATGGTGGTGGATTATGAGCCCTTCGTCCACGTTCTCACCTACTTGTTCTTGCTTCCACTCCGACACCTGCAGTAGCAACACCGTGTTAGGGCTTCATAGTACAACGAAAAATACGAAAAGCATGATTTACGAAGACTATTTTTTTAATTACCTGAATATTATTTCCGTCAAAAAATCTATGGGTACCTGTAGATTTCCGCCTCACCTAAGGAAAATATGCAAATTCTTAAATTTAGGTCATTTAAGCCATTTTATTTTGTTTAGATTTTAGCAAGGCTGCTAGGTTAGTTTTCGCGCGAAATAAAAAAAATGGCTAACTAGAAATTAACTTTTACCCTGGGATGCGCAGTGTTGTACGACTCTTTCGGGTTTAGCGTTTAATTTAATAATACCCGGGGATGCAAACCTTCAAGTGATCCCAGAGCTGTAATGAAATTAGTAGTTTTACTGATATTTATTTCCAGTACTCGTTGCCAGAGCTTCATACTAAAAGAAAGAAAGAAGAGTGTACGGAAGGAATTACGTTGTGAGAGGACACAGAGGAAGAGCGTAAGAGCTGGAAGGAGGAAGTTAAGGAGAGGTCGAGAAGTGGAATGAGGGAGAGGCTAAGAGATGGAGGAAGGTGAGTGGTTGGAAAGAGGGTCGTAAATATGACGAGTCATTATCGAAAAGCAATGTTTTGACAAGGTGGAGCGACCGTAGTCCCTGTTTGTTGTGCCTCAGACCGTTGTTGTCTTAAAGCAAGAGAAGCAGGCAGCAAGGGTATAGGCAGAAAATGAGAAACGGGAGGATAGAGGAATAATAATAATAAATAAATACTAAATTTGTTATTGTTATTGACAATGCATTACACTCATAATTTGAGGTATCTCTCTCTCAGTCCACAGCAGCATTCGAACCTGCACACTCTGTATCAAAGTACACAGTACTATCGCCATTCAGCAGACTGAGTGGCGAAAGTATTGCTGACTTTGATACAGTGTGTGCAGGTTCGAATCCTGCTGTGGACTGAGAGGTAATGTTTGTTAAAAGTTTTCCCGTTTGCGAACTGTTAAGCATGCATATAATATATATATATATATAAATATATATATATATATATATATATATATATAATATATATATATACACACACACACACACACACACACACACACACACACACACACACACACATACATATGCAAGGAATTCGCAAGAGCAGGCGAAATATACACAAACACTGATATCTGGCTAAAGGAGACTCGAACCTACGAACCTTGGAACAAGGTACGCAGTGCTTTACCAATCTACCCACACTGGACCAATACCCAACTAAATATAGCTTGCGCTATATTTAGTTGGGTTAGGCTAAAATAAATTGCTCTTGTTATAATAAGGTTAGGTAAGTTTTCTAAGATTCTTTTGGTGCAAAATTAAATTTTTTTACATTAACATTAATGAAAAAAATATATCTTTAAACATAAGAGAAAATTTCAGAAAGGACTTAATTTTAAAGGAGTTCTTGCTAATTGACGAGTTTTACATATTCGGCAAGACATTATATATATATATATATATATATATATATATATATAATATATATATATATATATAATATATATATATATATATATATATATATAGTATTGAAACCACGAAACAAGTGATACTGAATCATTTACCAAACTGCAGCCAGGACTAGATCCTGTGACACATCCTCCCACTTCAAGAGACAGACCAATGTTCACATCGCCTTAACCATTTAACCAGCGATTCTACAAGACTCATGCACCCAGCAAAGCTAGGTGTTGCTCATGATCCGAGGACACTCGTGATAATGGTTGGCTCAAGGCTAATTTCAACCACCTCCCGTTTGAATACCAGCCTCCACAAGCAGTTTATATAGTAATGAAACCACGAAACAAGTGGTACTGAATCTATATATATCCTCATATTATTAGCAGAACTTGATTCCTGAAAGTAGGAAGTACACTGTCTATACTCTAAAGAATGTGGGAGGATGCTACGGTACGGTTGGTCAATTCCAGACTGAGACCAAATGTCACTGTTGATTTCATGGTTAATCAAGCTGTTACTACCAACAATATAGTCTTCACAACCTGGTTGATCTATCGTTTTTAGCAGGTAATTGTTCAGGTTCTTGAAAACCTCTACCTTTGTTCAACTGGTAAATCACGACTAGTTATGTTTAATTTAGTCCAAATCAGAACGAAGCTAATGTGAGCTAACTCAGTTTGTTTAGTGTTACAAATATTGAAACATCGTATGTGACAGAATAGTTTTGTTTCTGACGTACGTGTGTGTGTGTGTGTACTTACCTATTTGTACTCACCTCTTTGTGGTTGCAGGGGTCGAGTCTTAGCTCCTGGCCCCGCCTCTTCACCGGTTGCTACTGGACCCTCTCTCTCCCCGCTTCATGAGCTTTATCAAACCTCGTCTTAAAACTGTGTATGGTTCCTGCCTCCACTACGTCATTTTCTAGGCTATTCCACTGCCTTACAACTCTATGACTGAAGAAATGCTTCCTAATATCTCTCTGACTCATTTGTGTCTTCAACTTCCAATTGTGGCCTCTTGTTTCTGTGTCCCCTCCCTGGAACATCCTGTCTTTGTCCACCTTGTCTATTCCACGCAGCATTTTATATGTCGTTATCATGTCTCCCCTGACCCTCCTGTCCTCCAGTGTCGTCAGGCCGATTTCCCTTAATCTTTCTTCATAGACATTCCCCTTAGCTCTGGAACTAACCTTATCGCAAACCTTTGTACTTTCTCTAGTTTCTTGACGTGCTTTATCAAGTGCGGGTTCCAAACAGGTGCTGCATACTCCAGTATGGCCTGACATACACGGTGTACAGTGTCTTGAACGATTCCTTACTAAGGTATCGGAATGCTGTTCTCAGGTTTGCCAGGCGCCCATATGCTGCAGCAGTTATGTGATTGATGTGTGCTTCCGGAGACATGCTCGGTGTTATACTCACCCCAAGATCTTTCTCCTTGAGTGAGGTTTGCAGTCTTTGGCCACCTAGCCTATACTCTGTCTGTGGTCTTCTGTGCCCTTCCCCTATCTTCATGACTTTGCATTTGGCAGGGTTAAATTCGAGAAGCCATTTGCTGGACCAGGTGTCCAGTCTGTCCAGGTCTCTTTGAAGTCCTGCCTGGTCCTCATCAGATTTAATTCTCCTCATTAACTTCACATCATCTGCAAACAGGGACACTTCTGAGTCTAACCCTTCCATCATGTCGTTCACATATACCAAAAATAGCACTGGTCCTAGGACCGACCCCTGTGGGACCCCGCTCGTCACAGGTGCCCACTGTGATACATCATTACGTACCATGACTCGTTGTTGCCTCCCTGTCAGGTATTCTCTGATCCATTGCAGTGCCCTTCCTGTTATATGCGCCTGATGCTCTAGCTTCTGCACTAATCTCTTGTGAGGAACTGTGTCAAAGGCCTTCTTGCAGTCCAAGAAGATGCAATCAACCCACCCCTCCCTCTCGTGTCTTACTTCTGTTATTTTATCATAAAACTCCAGAAGGTTTGTGACACAGGATTTGCCTTCCATGAATCCGTGCTGGTTGGCATTTATACTCCTGTTCCGTTCCAGGTGCCCCACCACTCTCCTCCTGATAATCTTCTCCATAACTTTGCATACTATACACGTCAATGACACAGGTCTATAGTTTAGTGCCTCTTTTCTGTCTCCTTTTTTAAAAATGGGAACTACATTTGCCGTCTTCCATACCTCAGGTAGTTGCCCAGTTTCCAGGGACGTGTTGAAGATTGTGGTAAGTGGCACGCACAACATATCTGCTCCCTCTCTAAGGACCCACGGGGAGATGTTGTCTGGTCCCATTGCCTTTGAGGTATCGATGTCCCTTAGCAGTTTCTTCACCTCCTCCTCATCTGTATGTATGTCGTCCAACACTTGTTGGTGTATTTCTTGCTGGTGTCCCCATCTGATCTGTCCTTCCTGTCTCTACTGTAAATACTTCCTTAAATCTCGTGTTGAGCTCCTCACATACCTCTTGATCGTTTCTTGTGAGTTCTCCACCTTCTTTCCTCAGCCTTATCACCTGGTCCTTGACTGTTGTCTTCCTCCTAATGTGGCTATACAGCAGTTTCGGGTCAGATTTGACTTTCGATGCTATGTCGTTTTCATACTGTCGCTGGGCCTCCCTCCTTATCTGTGCATACTCGTTTCTGGCTCTTCTACTAATCTCCTTGTTTTTCTGGGTCCTATGCCTCCTGTACCTTTTCCATTCTCTGTTGCACTTAGTTTTTGCCTCCCTACACCTTCGGGTAAACCAAGGACTCGTTTTGGTCTTCCTATTATTTCTGTTTCCCTTGGGAACAAACCTTTCCTCTGCCTCCTTGCACTGTTATGTGTGTGTGTGTGTGTATATACTCGCCTATTTGTATTCACCTATTTGCTACTGGCCCTGCCTCTTCGCTATTCGCTACTTGGTCCACTCTATACATGCTCCATGAGCTTTATCGTATCTCTTCTCAAAGCTATGTATGGATCCTGCCTCCACTACATAACTCCAGACTGCTCCACTTCCTAACAACTCTGAAGAAATACTTCCTAACATCCCTGTGACTCATCTGAGCTTCCAACTTCCAGTTGTGACCCCTTGTTGTGTCCCATCTCTGAAACATCCTGTCCCTATCCACCTTATCAGTTCCTGTCAATATTTTATATGTCGTTATCATATCCTCTCTATCCCTTCTGTCCTTCATTGTCGTCAGGTCGATTTCCCTTAAGCTCTTCTTATGTGTGTGTGTGTGTGTGTGTGTGTGTGTGTGTGTGTGTAAATTTTCCAACTTTGTGACATTAATCTCCTTTCACATCCTCTGGGTTTTGAGATATTCACATCCTGTGTACAAGACCATCAGCTTTAATGAACTTCTGGTGCCTGTTGTGTTTGTGATACTCAGTTTTAGTCGGTATAGCTTTGTAAATAGTTTTGGGCAAGCTAAGTCTTATCTTTGTTACCAACATCCGGTTGTATGTTGTAATAACAAGTCCCACGGGAAGGATGATTGAGAGAGTTTCCAGATTAAGTCTGACCCCTTTTACTTGTGTTTCTCATTAGTAAGTTACATAAGACTCAGATTCATCTCATCAGCATGATGTTGATGGATACAGTCAGTAGGAATAAGTTAGTAACGGATAAAAAGGGGGATAGCAACAATCTAACTGATCACGGAAAGAGGGAAGGGGGATAACTGGTGGTTGGCATGAATAATCAAGTGATGGACTGGTGGTGACTCGTCCCCCCCCGGGTGGTCACTCACCTTCTGTCCCAGCATCTGGAATAACTTTGCCACTTGAGCGTTGCCCTCCGTCAACTTCCTCTCCAGCTTGTCCAGAATCTCTGAACCTCGCACCTGGAAAATGTGGAAACTTTAAAGTATGTGTTCAACAATACTGTCAGATTATATATATTGCAAGAGAAGATGACAGACAAAGATTCAAACATACCTTTGTATTCTGAGACTTTCTCAGGAATATAAAGGGAGAGGAAGAAAAGGCTGTTGCTCTTTTAATTATATATATATATATATATAATATATATATATATATATATATATATATATATATAATATATATATATATAATTTGGACACCGCATTGTTTCGATAATCTATAAGGTTGTCACTATGGGAACAAAAGCTAGCTTGATGTCACTGTCATATTCCAGCACACAAGATGAACTATGTCGACAAGTGATGCAACCTGTCATCCTGACCTGGGAGATTATATATATATATATATATATATATATATATATATATATAATATATATATATATATATATATATATATATATAACTCTTGGGTGGCATTGCTGACATTTGTCAGCAATTGTGCAGCGCTGTATGACCCTGGTGATTTAGCGCTTGGTTTTGATTGCATTAATAATAATGCCAGCAGTTGTCAGACTAGTAATCACATTTGCTTGTTGACATGCATGCTTTGTTAATTCATCATCAAGTTTGTACATTTCATCATTTACATTCAAATTGTTTAATCTAATTTATAAATTATGTGTGAGACTTACAAGTTGTGTATGCGGGGAAAGAACTCAAGCTCCTGGCCCTAACTTTTAACATCTATCTACCAGCATGATTTGCTTTAAGACTCTCGAGCTGTTGTATTTACTTTGAAGCACTGTATGGAGGTCATTATTAATGATAGTACAGTATCTTATCGGTAACGGCCGCAGGGAGTTAAATTATTTCAGCAACTACTTACTTTCAAGTGCTTAATAACCAAAGAATTCTAGTTCTTTTTTAAATCTTGAAAATCAATAGTGTTATATTATCTGGTGGAGTTGCGAGAGTGGCACAAACTCTGGAAACTAATCACAGGTACGTTACTCACTTGGTCAAACGTATGGGTGAGGCGCTGGAGACAGTACCTGGCACCTTGCTGTATGAGGGTGCCGAACTTGGAGAAAGCTGAGAGGATGGTGGCTTGCAGGTTGGGCAGTTCCTCCTTAGCTCTTTGAAACGCCGTTGCGATCTTGTCTCCTGTCTGCGTGGAGTAGGGTGATAGCGTTGACGTTAAGGGTGACCAGAGGTGTGGTTTTAGATGGAAGGAACGTGCAAGTGTGTTAGATATTCTTGTGAAGGGTGGAAGAGTGTTTTGTTTTATTAAACTGGATGTATTAGAAAAAGGTAGCAGCACACTGTAGTGTGCTGCTACCCTTTTCTGTATGGAAAAACTTCAAAAAAAAAAAAAAAGTACTTTAGAGAGGAACCTTAGGGCGACGCTTCGGTACGTCCTGAACTATTGTGCAGTGTTGCTGAGGTGGAGTTGTAGCAGTGAATTGTTGCTGGGGTGAAGGTGTAGCAGTGCATTGTTGCTGGGGTGAAGGTGAAGCAGTGCATTGTTGCTGAGGTGAAGGTGAAGCAGTGCATTGTTGCTGGGATGAAGGTGAAGCAGTGCATTGTTGCTGGGGTGAAGGTGTAGCAGTGCATTGTTACTGGGGGTGAAGGTGTAGCAGTTCACTGTTGCTGAAGGTAAAGGTGTAGCAGTGCATTGTTGCTGGGATGAAGGTGAAGCAGTGCATTGTTGCTGGGGTGAAGGTGTAGCAGTGCAATGTTACTGGGGTGAAGGTGAAGCAGTGCATTGTTTTCTGGGTTTAGGTGTAGCAGTGCATTGTTGCTGGGGAAGGTGAAGCAGTGCATTGTTGCTGGGGTGAAGATGAAGCAGTGCATTGTTGCTGGGGTGAAGGTGTAGCAGTGCATTGTTGCTGGGGTGAAGGTGACGCAGTGCATTGTTGCTGGGGTGAAGGTGAAGCAGTGCATTGTTGCTGGGGTGAAGGTGAAGCAGTGCATTGTTGCTGGGATGAAGGTGAAGCAATGCATTGCTGCTGGGGTGAAGGTGTAGCAGTGCATCGTTGCTGGGGTGAAGGTGTAGCAGTGCATTGTTGCTGGAGGTAAAAGTGTAGCAGTGCATTGTTGCTGGGATGAAGGTGAAGCAGTGCATTGTTGCTTGGGTGAAGGTGTAGCAGTGCATTGTTATTGGGGTGAAGGTGAAGCAGTGCATTATTGCTGGGGTGAAGGTGTAGCAGTGCATTGTTGCTGGGGTGAAGGTGAAGCAGTGCATTGTTGCTGGGGTGAAGGTGAAGCAGTGCATTGTTGCTGGGATGAAGGTGAAGCAATGCATTGCTGCTGGGGTGAAGGTGTAGCAGTGCATTGTTGCTGGGGTGAAGGTGTAGCAGTGCACTGTTGCTGGGGGTGAAGGTGTAGCAGTGCATTGTTGCTGGGGTAAAGGTGTAGCAGTGCATTGTTGCTGGGATGAAGGTGAAGCAGTGCATTGTTGCTGGGGTGAAGGTGTAGCAGTGCATTGTTGCAGGGGTGAAGGTGAAGCAGTGCATTGTTGCTGGGGTGAAGGTGTGAAGCAGTGGATTGTTGCTGGGATAAGGTTGAAGCAATGGCATTGTTTGCTGGGGTGAAGGTGTAGCAGTGCATTGTTACTGGGGTGAAGGTGAAGCAGTGCATTATTGCTGGGGTGAAGGTGTAGCAGTGCATTGTTGCTGGGGTGAAGGTGAAGCAGTGCATTGTTGCTGGGGTGAAGGTGAAGCAGTGCATTGTTGCTGGGATGAAGGTGAAGCAATGCATTGCTGCTGGGGTGAAGGTGTAGCAGTGCATTGTTGCTGGGGTGAAGGTGTAGCAGTGCACTGTTGCTGGGGGTGAAGGTGTAGCAGTGCATTGTTGCTGGGGTAAAGGTGTAGCAGTGCATTGTTGCTGGGATGAAGGTGAAGCAGTGCATTGTTGCTGGGGTGAAGGTGTAGCAATGCATTGTTACTGGGGTGAAGGTGAAGCAGTGCATTGTTGCTGGGGTGAAGGTGAAGCAGTGCATTGTTGCAAGGGTGGAGGTGAACCAGTGCATTATTGTTGGGGTGAAGGTGTAGCAGTGCATTGTTGCTGGGGGTGAAGGTGTAGCAGTGCATTGTTGCTAGGGTGAAGGTGTAGCAGTGCATTATTGCTGGGGTGAAGGTGTAGCATGCATTGTTGCTGGGGTGAAGATGTAGCAGTGCATTGTTGCTGGGGTAAAGGGTGTAGCAGTGCATTGTTTGAGGCCTATTGTGTAGTAAAGGTGTACCAGTGCATTATTGCTGGGGGAAGGTTGTAGCATGCATTGTTGCTGGGGTGAAGATGTAGCAGTGCATTGTTGCTGGGGTGAAGGTGTAGCAGTGCATTGTTGCTGGGGTGAAGGTGTACCAGTGCATTGTTGCAGGGAGGAAGGTGTAGCAATTTTGCTGGAGTGAGGGTGTAGCAGTGTAGTATTGCTGGAGTGAGGGTGTAGCAGTGTAGTGTTGCTGGGGCGAGGATGTAGCAGTGTAGTGTTGCTGGGGCGGGGGTGTAGCAGTGTAGTGTTGCTGGGGCGAGGGTGTAGCAGTGTAGTGTTGTTGGGGCGAGGGTGTAGCAGTGCAGTGTTGCTAGAGTGAAAGTGTTGCTGGAGTGAGAATGTTGCAGTGTAGTGTTGCTGGGGTGAGTGTTGTAGTGTGGTGTTGCTGGAGTGAGAATGCAGCAGTGCAATGTTGCTGGAGTGAGAGTGTAGCAGTGTAATGTTGCTCGAGTGAGAGTGTAGCAGTGTAGTGTTGCTGGAGTGTGTTGCAGTGTAGTGTTGCTGGAGTGTGTTGCAGTGTAGTGTTGCTGGAGTGTGTTGCAGTGTAGTGTTGCTGGAGTGAGAGTGTTGCAGTGTAGTGTTGCTGGAGTGAGTGTTGCAGTGTAGTGTTGCTGGAGTGAGTGTGTTGCAGTGTAGTGTTGCTGCAGTGACTGTTTCAGTGTAGTGTTGCTGGAGTGTGTTGCAGTGTAGTGTTGCTGGAGTGAGTGTTGCAGTGTAGTGTTGCAGTGTAGTGTTGCTGGAGTGTTGCTGGAATGTGTTGCTGGAATGTGTTGCAGTGTAGTGTTGCTGGAGTGTGTTGCAGTGTAATGTTGCTGGAGTGAGTGTTGCAGTGTAGTGTTGCTGGAGTGTGTTGCAGTGTAGTGTTGCTGGAGTGTGTTGCAGTGTAGTGTTGCTGGAGTGAGTGTGTTGCAGTGTAGTGTTACTGGAGTGAGTGTGTTGCAGTGTAGTGTTGCTGGAGTGAGAGTGTTGCTGTAGTGAGAGTGTTGCAGTGTAGTGTTGCTGTAGTGAGAGTGTTGCAGTGTAGTGTTGCTGGAGTGTGTTGCAGTGTATTGCTGGAGTGTGTTGCAGTGTAGTGTTGCTGGAGTGAGTGTTGCAGTGTAGTGTTGCTGGAGTGAGTGTTGCAGTGTAGTGTTGCTGGAATGTGTTGCAGTGTAGTGTTGCAGTGTAGTGTTGCTGGAGTGTGTTGCAGTGTAGTGTTGCTGGAGTGAGTGTGTTGCAGTGTAGTGTTGCTGGAGTGTGTTGCAGTGTAGTGTTGCTGGAGTGAGTGTTGCAGTGTAGTGTTGCTGGAGTGAGAGTGTTGCTGTGTAGTGTTGCTGGAGTGAGAGTGTTGCAGTGTAGTGTTGCTGGAGTGAGAGTGTTGCAGTGTAGTGTTGCTGTAGTGAGTGTTCAGTGTAGTGTTGCTGTAGTGAGTGTTGCAGTGTAGTGTTGCTGGAGTGAGTGTGTTGCAGTGTAGTGTTGCTGGAGTGAGTGTTGCAGTGTAGTGCTGCTGGAGTGAGAGTGTTGCAGTGTAGTGTTGCTGGAGTGAGTGTGTTGCAGTGTAGTGTTTCTGGAGTGAGAGTGTTGCAGTGTAGTGTTGCTGGAGTGAGTGTGTTGCAGTGTAGTGTTGCTGGAATGAGTGTTGCAGTGTAGTGTTGCTGGAATGAGTGTTGCATTGTAGTGTTGCTGGAGTGAGGGGTTCCTAAGCTTCATTAATATGGTAAATAACGTTATATGGCTACAATCATTGTTTCGTTTTAACTGTTTACTGACGCTGTTATTTTTTTCTGCAGTGGAAAAAGAAAAACACTGGAAATGGTAATGGGTTTAAGTCCCGGGCTGGAGACATGCAAGACTCACACTTACTAATATTAGTAAATTCATGGAGAAGCGCTAAACCAGTAAGTTTAATCCAAAGGAGAGTAACTCCAATTCCTTGGATGAAGAATCCTTTGACAAGCATCAGAACATCCCCTTGAAGGGTTATAATTAGTATTTATTATTATTAAAATAAAAGAGAAGCGTTAAACCCCACAAAGGTGTCATAATTAGTAGCGCTGAGAAGAAACTCTTTAATCGTTAGTATAAAGGGAAGTGTTCAGTGGAAGATGGTGGTGGTGTGGCAGTACCTGGCGCAGCCTCCACAGTGCCCCAGTTCGCACCTCGGTCCACGCAGCCTGCAGAAGGGGACACGCCTGAAAGGCACCCGCAGGAAGGGGTAAAGGTGGCCAGGGGGTTAATGCCAGCTCTTCTGATGTCTTGTCCTACGCTGGGAATATCCTCAAGATCTTCTATGTGAGGCTGGTCACGCCTTCCTATTTACTGGTTGTATTTACTCCTCACTGACTGCCAGGACTTGTTTAAGCTACACATGATGTGATACTTAACAATATCGAACACTTCCAAAAATTCAAGACTGCTTTTACATACAGTATCATACACAAATAACCCGCACATAGAAGAGAGGAGTTTACAGCGACATTTCGGTCCGATTTGGACCATTTACAAAAATCACACTAACTGTTAGTGTGACTTTGTAAATGGTCCAAGTCGCAACGAACCGTCGTCGTAAGCTCCTCTCTCCTATATGTGGGTTATTTGTGTATTGTTCCAGTCACGGTATTGTGCCTTTTTGTTTTTTACATACAGTATCATTCCTAAAAAAATATATAGCATAATATTTAAATGGCTTAGTTTGGATTAGTGCAACCTCAAGCCTTGAAGAAATGCTGTGCATACAGTAGGCTTTCCAGAAAAAAAATTATATAACAATTATGTGAAATTTTTTTTAAATAATTGTAAAAATACTTGTTGCGATTCCCCGTGTCATTAGTTTGAGCTGAGATGTGGAATGTACTTAATAATTTTAAACGTAATCACCCACCTAAGACTACCGTCATATTAATACTGTAAATCATTAGTGTACAGTTTTCACATAACGGATTAATTTTTATAGCATATTATGGGCTTGTATTTATTGTGGTTTATTTGTTTACATTTATGTGGGGTTTTACCTTGTATATTTTACCTTTATATATAAAACTGAAAATAAAATTTAACGCCATTTACATAAAAAAAGTATAAATACCTCCTCATAATTCTTGTTGACCACTTTGGAAACACCATCTCATATGTTTCATTTTAATCACTCGGTATAGTTAAGGCATCGAAGCAAGAAGATTTAAGGCATGGAAACTTACTGATTGTGCAGCATCTTGCACTTTGTCGACTACTTGTGAGGCTGCTTTGTGGACGGTGTCGGCGGCATCAGCGATCTTGTCACCCCACTGCGAAAGTGTATCCTCAGCCTTATCTCCCAGGTTGTCCACTGTGTCTGTAACCTGTGGCAATGCGCAGGGGCAAGAAGTTAGCTCAGAGTATCTTTAGTGTCTGGAAAATCTGGATACAGCCATTCTAAATCCGATGTTTAGCATCAGCTAAATGAATGGTTTTCAATATTATTTCGCCACTTTAACTGGGTGGATTCAGAAGGACAAACTTGAAAACACAGATACATATTAAACAACAGCACTGTTTCCTACTTAACACAGCCAGCTATGAACTCTAAGATGTGGCTTGGTACTTACTTGACCCCAGCCCTTCTCTAGCCATCTCAAGAAGGAAGGACGATCACCCCTATCACCAACCCCACTGGCATCCTCGGGCTCCACGCCCTCACCCACTTCCTTTTGGAGTTGCGGCCCCAGCGGCTCCACTCCTTGGGACAGCTGCGAGTTGTCGACCTGCCCCGACCCTCTGAAACAGGCCCAATCCACACACATGTGAGAATTTTAACAATATCATGAAAGTAACACTTTTTATGGAAGAATGGGACCAATCCTGCAATTTCGCTTGTAATGTGAGCCCACAACTATACTGACTAAGCAACTAGTATATATATTTCCAAATCTGATTTTGGTCTGCTCCAGTCCCAACACGGAGTCATGTGTGGGAATATATTTTACAGGATACTACCATGCAAATTGAGTTTCATAATGTTTGTGTTGTAAGGAATTTATATGAAGAAATTTTTGGGTAGATAAGTGTAGTGAAGAAGAGATACGACAAAGCTCATGGAGCAGGGAGAGAGTGGACCTAGTAGCGACCATCGGAAGAGGCGGTACCAGCAGCTGTGAATCGACCCCTGCAACCACAAATAGGTGAGTACACACATACTAGAAAATACATTTTCTTTGTTACGGTAGCGAGTAAATGATGGAGTTAAACACTGTTGCATGGTTTCGCCACGGATCCGTAAAGTATAAGTGGCAGGACCACGAGATGTAACCTGACTCCCTCAAACACAACTGCAAGAACTGGGCAAGTGTATATGCGCGCGTGCACGCATGCACTTCTCAATGACAAACACTGTTGTAAAATCTCTGGAAAACCCATTTGAGGAAAGTGAATAATACCCAGGAGAGGAAAACCCGGCTAACTAGCCATGACTTTGGTTTCCCATCAGTAAAATTCTGCATTTATTTCAATTTCAAAAACTTTTGATAAGAGTTCGCTGTGAAAAATTAATCCGGAAACTTCAAAATGTGAAGATTAAAGGGTAAACTTTCAATACCTGAGTCATTTTTCTATTCGAAAGAAAAAATGGAAACGAGAATAAGAGGGAGGGGGGGGGGGAGGTGTCGTGGATAAATATTACCAGCCAGGTCCCTCAAAGATCAGTACTTGGCCCGATAATTTTTAATTTATGTAAACAATCTGCCACAAGGAACTAAAACTATTGAAAATGTTTTCAGATAATGTACAATTCTATGCAAATTGACAAAAATGGATTGTTACTATTATTTATGAATTTTTCTATTCACTCTATTATGTCTTTCATTCTTCTACGTTAACGCTTTTGTAAATTGTGTAAATGACGCAGCATATGGTTAGCGGCATTTATGTTGATAGTGACATGTAACTGAAATGGGAGAAAGCAACAAGTTTACCTGATGATTATATACTGATAAAATATTGTAAGTGTCGGACAGGAAGTCATCTAGAGTAACAACTGACGAAATACTCTCACTGGATGACCAAAAGCAAAATAATGATCTAACTCGTACGATACGCTGGAAAACTTTAGGATAACCTTCATATATAGTATATGGATAAAGAAATGCGAAAGAATATGTATGTTAGAATCTGAAGAGTCAGCGGAAGTGTGGTGTCCATAATTAAAAAGTAACTTACAGGTAAGACAAAATGCAGGTAAGATAAAAAAAAGTTCAAAGACGTGTTATACAATGGTTCGCAGAACTAAAAATTGAAAGCTATGAAACTGGCTAAAATTTCATAAGCAAAAATCAATGCCGAAATGATACTAGAAAATAAGTACTACAACCAGTGGGAAGTTACTGAAAAACTTGAATGCTGAAGACAAGACACCTAGAGCATAACTTTGCTCCTGTAATTACAGTAAGGCAAACACAATTAGGTAATCTCTGAAACCACTAATTACTATAATCAAAACTAAGCTTTAAACCCACAAGGGTCATACAGCTGAAACAACTAAGATGAAAACATGTTCTCTTTAAATTACCACAGACAGATGTGTAATACCTTGAAGTGTATGTGTGTGTGTATATATATATATGCATGCATGCATAAGAATACGCAACAAGTAGTACATACGGGTAACCAAATTCGCTGATGGTCCTATCTCCATCCACTTCTCCTTCTCCGTTGTCCAAAGTCTCTCTTATCAGACCAACTGGTGACTGTCCTTTTGCAGACTGGTACTGCCTTATTTGATCAAGATGCTGGTGCGCGTGGCGCCTCACTTTGTTAGAGGGAACCTCGTGACTTTGGTCTTGGTCGTCGACCTCGCCGTAGGTGCTGACGTCTTCTTCGCTGATTTCGTTCACATGTTTGTTATTCTCGCTGGCTAGTAAGAGCAACTGGTTCAGGAAACTGCGAGCTGCAGTCTTCGTTGGAATAGTGTCCCTGATGCTATCGATAATATTTTGGGTTTGCTTCCTCCTTGTTTCGGAAATGCCCTCTTCTGGCAAGGACTGGGCGGTGGATTGCAACATCTGCGCCACCTGTTGAAGCAATTCTTCATATCTGTGGGTGACAATGGGAGATTGACTGTAATTTACAGGGTATGGATTCTACCTGCGCTAATATTTATAAAACAGTATTAAGGATGGGACTATACCAAAATTTTTCCAGATACAGATACTCAACTTCAGGCCGATACTCTTACCAGTACCCATTTTTGGTACAACCCTATATATGTGTATATATATATATATATATATATATATATATATATATATATATATATATATATATATATATTATATATATCTAATATATATATATATATATGCAAAACAACCAATGTGAAAGAGTAGTGAAATTCCAAGCGCTTTCGTGACTTCTCACATTGTCAAGGAACTATGATAGTTCCTTGACAATGTGAGTAGTCACGAAAGCGCTTGGTATTTCACTACTCTTTCATAGTGTTTGTTTTGCATATTTTAAAATCACATGTTTACTGTGATCTTATTGTGTGTGTATATATATATATATATATATATATATATATATATAATATATATATATATATATAATATATATTTAATTTATAGTATATATATATTTTTATTAAGAACTCATTTAAAAATTAATCTTTCTAAAAAGTTTCTTTATAACTTTAAATAAGATTTTTCATTAATTTAATGTAAATATGATATAATTTTGTACCAAAAGAACCTTAGAAAACTTACCTAACCTTATAACAAGCGCAATTTAATCTAGCCTAATCCAACTAAATACGTATATTTTAGATATATTTACAATTTAATAATAAACACAAATATATTTTTTCGCTAGGTTTAGAATGATTTTTGCGAAATTATTGCATACACAAATTTTCGCTTGCCTTATTAGGCAAGAAGAGCGTTGCTATTTAAGCCAAAATCGAAAGTTTTACCTATTCGGCACGACATAAAGCAAGTGAAAATTTATGCAATTCTCAGGAAGAAATTGGAAGAGTTAAGGAGAATGGAACAACGAATAGGCAATCTGGACACCCACGATGCCTTGTACCTTTTCACAAAGTGCTTGAGTCTGCCCAGGTTGACATATTTCCTAAGATGTGCACCTTCATATGATAACCCTATACTGCACGAATATGACAGTATTCTGAGGCAGATTTTTACGAAAGTACTTAACCTTACTCTAGAAGACGGGCAGTGGAACCAAGCTACACTTCCAGTCAGACTAGGAGGCATTGGTGTCCGCAAGTCATCACAGAGTGCGTTACCTGCTTTTCTGTCCTCGTGTATTGCATCCAGAGAGCTTGTAGCAGCGATTCTCCCTGAACATCTTAGGGACAAGATTAGAGTCCAGGACCAAAAATTCATTGACGGAGTAATGATCTGGGATAATCTAACGGGCTCTGAAACCAGACCTGCTCCCCCCAACAACTACAAACAATCGCACTGGGATGGTCCAATGGTGGAAAATATTGCCTCGACAATGCTTCAGAGTGTGTCAGGGAAGGATAGAGCCCGCCTCCTGGCAGTGAGAGCCCCTCATGCTGGGGACTTTCTGTTGGCTGTTCCCAACTCCAGCCTTGGCACACGCCTCGACCCACAGACCATCCGCATCGGTGATGCCCTTCGACTTGCCGCCCCTTTTCTCGCCGAACACAGGTGTATTTGTGGCACTGAAGCAGCAGACCGATTCGGGTACCATGGTCTTGTGTGCCGTAAATCCGAGGGAAAGATTGCAAGACATGAGGAGGTTAATAACATCAAGAGGAGCCTCACAACGGCTGGATGCCCAGCAGTAAGGGAGCCACCCCAACTATGCAGATCTGATGGCAGCCAGAAGCGTCCAGATGGTATCACCCTTCAAGCCTGGACAGATGGGAAGCAGGTGGTGTGGGACTATACATGTGCATCTACCTTGGCTGATACCTATCTCCAATACACCAGGGAGGAAGGAGGGGCAGCTGCCAGCTTCAGGGACTCCCCAAAAGTCTAGAAAATATGGAGAACTTGCCCATCATTATATGTTTGTTCCCATAGGCTCAGAGACCCATGGCTCATGGGGAAAGAGTGCATCTAAATTCCTTAAGGAGCTGGGAAAAAGACTCATAAGGGTAACTAGGGATCCCAGGGCAGCTAGTTTTCTGTTCCAGCGGCTCAGTGCGGCTGTTCAAAGGGGTAATGCCTGCTGTATTTTGGGCACACGCCCCAGCTCTGAGGAGCTGGATGAGATTTTCGCTTTATAATCGGTGATACACACGTAACATGTACCTTATATGCCACCTTTATATCAACAATGTATCTCTTAAATCTTCTGTACCATATATATATATATATATATATATATATATATATATATATATATATATATATATATATATATATATATATATAATATATATATATATATATATATATATATATATATATATATAATGCACATACTTATTACAATAAGTACTCGAACTTTTATTTCACGTTCTGAAACAAATTTTCAGAAAAATTATAACCAATTTTTGGAAAATTGTATTTAATTGATAAATTATTATTCGCAAGTCGCAACTTTCTCCAAACAAGGAAGGATCAATAATTTTTTAAGGGCACTCGCTAACATTGCAGGACGACTGATGGTTCACGTTTCAATTTCATTAGACTTTCGCTAATATATAATTTGTATTTGGGGTAGCAGTAGCTACTTCTCTATGTAACTCAATGTAACAATGACCAGTTTCATTATAAGTTGAATACCCAAACGAATCTAACGTACAAGCTTGGTCTCAGCAAGCGACACGCCATCTGCTGTTTTTTTTTCCCCTCAGGGCCCAAGTGCGTCCGTTTTCTTTATCACTTTGTTAGGTGAGATATGAAAACTTCTGACGAGCAGGCCGTCCCCTGATGTGTCGATTGTATTCGCTACCCTGCCACTGTATATTATTACCACTAAATTAAGACCAGTACCTGACAGCTCTGGTGGCTGCGCCATCCGAGAAAGGTATCCCCTTATTCCATAAGCTCAGCCCCCTCTACCTAAATGCAAGGAAAAGGAATATTGGAGGGTGGTCAAAAAATTCCAGTGCAGCATGTTTGAGCATATTTCTGTACACATGCTCTTTCATATGTATACATACATGTGTGTATGTATTTGTATGTATAAAGGCATGGATATATTTGTGTATTTACGTGTATAAATATTTTGTATGTACATGTATATGTATTCCCTTCGGGGATTCCTAATAGAGGCGCCAAAAAAAAAAAGAACCAAAGAAAGATTTTTTTCAGTTCTAGCTGTATATAGAGAATCCCCTCCAAACCACCAGTAATCTTTCCAGACTACATAGAACCACCTACACACCAGACTACCAATAACCCCTTCACAGCATTAGTAACCCTTTCAAAATACCACAACCCCTCCAAACCTCTAATAATCCTTCGAACTTCGGGTAACCCTCCAAACCACGAGTTACCCCTCTCGAAAGTACCAGTAACACTCCAGTTGGACTCAACTGGTCACCGTACATTCTGCTTGTGTGACCGCTGGTTTTGATATGCAGGTATTTATTTTGTTAGTGTGCGAAGATTTACTCCTGTACACATCTGCACAATGGCCCTTCCTGAGTAGCGGCCTAAAACATGAGGCAAAAAAAGTCTAATCTGCCAACTATCAGTATACGATGGATGAAAAAAAAACGGAAATAACGTAAGACTTTTACAACTACCTTTCTCATCAAGGAATAAAATGATAGTTTAACGTCGTTGTAATAAAAGTTAATGCTCTTTTGTCTCGCCCACTTGCCAGCTCTCTGCCTCTTCCCCCAGTAGTAAAAGACCTGGGAATAATTATGTCAGCTGATCTTTCTTTTAAGGAACATAACAAGACAAAGATCACGACAGCCAGGAAGATGACGGGGTGGGTATTGAGAACTTTTAAAACAAAGGAAATAATGCCAATGGTGACACTCTTCAAATCGCTAGTGCTCTCTCATTTAGAATATTGCTCAGTGCTGACGGCCCCGTTCAAAGCAGGAGAAAGTAGTACAGAGATTGTTTATGGCTCGCATTGAGCCAGTAAAGCACCTAAATAACTGGGTAAGCAATTTACTCACTGGAGCGGAGAAGAGATACTTGATAATGTATACCTGGAAAGTACTCGAGGGCCTGGTCCTAAATCTGCACACTGCCATAACATAATGGAGTGTGACATATGGGAGGAAGTGTAAAATAAACCTAGTGAGGAGCAGGGGTGCGGTGGGGACAATAAGGGAACACTGGATCAACATCCGGGGCCCCAGACTATTCAACATCTTACAAGAAGATATCAGAAACACGGCTGGAACAAGTGTAGAAGCCTTCAAGAGGAAACTGGACAAGTATCTTCACCAGGTGTCAGATCAACCAGGCTGTGATGGATATGTGGGGCAGCGGGCCTCCAGCAGCAACAGCCTGGTTGATCAGGCAAGGACCGGATGAGCCTGGCCCATGGCTGGGCTTCGAGAGTAGTTAAACTTGAAACTTTTCAAAGGTATATCAAAGGTAAGGTATGTTGGTAGACAGTACTACCCAGGAAGGTAGTCTTCCTGCCTCTTTCCCCCTGTATATATATAGTATGATGGTAGGCAGTAATGTCCAGGAAAGTACTGGCTTCCTGTCTCCTCCACCACTATATAGTAAGATGGAAGACAACACGATTGAGGAAAGTGCTGTCCTCCTGTCTCGCCTGTTATGTAGTATGTTGGTAGACAGCACTACCCAGTAAGGTACTATCTTCCTCTTTCCCCAGTATATTGTTGAGGGACAGTACTACCCAGGAAGGTAGGCTACTGTACCACCCTTCCAGTCTCGTCTGTTAGCATATATTGGTGGATAGCGGTACCCAGGAAGGTATAACCCTCCTGATTCCTCCACCATTATATAGTAGGCTGGTAGATACCATTACCCAGGAAGGTACTGTCCTCCTGTCTTTATTGTGTGTGAAACGTAAACTTGTTAAATGTTTTGCATTCTGGTAAAACTGCTTCTCTTTTCTTTGTTTCTATCTTATTTTTGTGTGTGTGTGTGTGTGTTTCTAAACACTTCTTGTAATTAGTGTTTTCTTTTATCCAATTTATGAAACCGTGCCGCAGGGGCAATAATCCCGGGAACTAATAACAGATGTATGTAACGAAAAACTAATAAAACACAAGTATATACCAATAAGAGTGACTAACTTACTCTGGGTCGACATCCTCGCTGTAGTCTTCATCGTCATATTCCTCAGAATTCCAGTCCGGGTCGTCATCAGAGAGCCACAAGGGATCTTCGCTGGTTTCCCTGCCGGAAAAGATAGTAATTATTGGTGAGTGGTACACTATTGTTTATGGCACGGAAATATAGAAACTATTCACTTATCTTGTGTAGACGTGCTCGAGTCTCATGTGAACATGATGTAAAAACACAGTAAACATGACCAGGTGTTGCACACGTCTTATTCATCAACTTGTCGATACTGTGTGTCATTAACGTAATGAAACTGTGGATCAAGCTAACTCTTGAATTCAAATTCAGTGAGATCACTGGAGAACTGTCTTAAATCATCAAATAATAGCAAAATTTTAACGTTCTGAACTGAGTAGCTGATTGCTGGATGATGAATAGCACTCGTTTAAAAAAAAATCTTTTGAGTTAAGATAACTTAGACTAGTACAGGGTATATACACTGAGGAGTGTCTCATGTTTATATGCACTAAGAAGCTATTTAAAACCCCATTTTATGGATGAAATATGAAGGTATTCTTAATATTGTACCAAGTGATCAGTTCAACATGTATATTCGAACTCCATGAAAAATAGAGCCCTAAAAGTTGGGACGCCCTTCCAAAAGATGCAAAAAGTTATCCTTCAGCCACCTGCTTCAAATATATGGTCTTAAACCCAGCTTGAATTATGCTAAAACCTGATTTAGCAACAACCTTGTTGATGAAAATCATAACATTTATAATGAAGCTTTCACCATCGTTACTTTCAACATATAACCGAAAATATGTTCTACCTCAGTATTCACTACTACAAATATTATAATTTGTCACACAAGTTATTAATTATAAGGCAAATTGTTACGGTATATAAAATGTCCTGTATATCAAACCATAGCATTCTATGTGAAGTAAAAGGACACAAGTGCAACTAATGTGATATTTTATTGTGGCAACGTTTCGCTCTCCAGGAGCTTTATCAAGCCATTAATGGCTTGATAAAGCTTCTGGAGAGCGAAACGTTGCCACAATAAATTGTCACATTAGTTGCACTTGTGTCCTTTTACTTCACATATTGTCGGTAATTCTATCAACTTTATTACATAGCATTCTAGTAAGCTATCCTTGCTGTATAAGTGTGATTTGTTACAAGTTAATTTTAAGGCTGCCTGAAATGCTCTGCATACCAGTGTGGTAGTTTATACATGCTGATTAATCCTATGTCCATTGTATACTGTACCTTTATAAAAAATAAGTTGTCTTAGTCTTGTTAGTGTACAGGTAAATTGTAGCCTCAGTGACCCATGTGAAGTTTACACCTAAATTTTAATAATAATAATAAAAACCTTATAAAATATTAATAAATATGTTTAATAATCTCTGGGTAATAAAGAATTAACTCACTCTGTGTTATTATCGCCGTCACTGTCCTCGCCATAATCGTTGCCATTATCGCCATCATCCTTGTCGTCACCGTTGTCGTCATTATCGCCGTCATCATTGTCGTCACCGTCGTCGTCATTATCGCCGTCATCATTGTCGTCATCGTCGTCGTCATCATCATCATCATCATATTCCACGGGTCTCCAGTCTGGGTCTTCGTCCTTACTATTGGGACAAAACGTGATTACCAGACTTCAGCTGGTACACTATCCTGTATATCCATACATATCAGAAGTATCATTTTGTTGTGTATGTGGGGGGGGGGAAGTTATCTACTTACTCATTCTCGAAAGAAATGTCATCTTCGTTGTCGTTTTCTGCAGTGTTCTTTGCGGTCACATCTGTGTATCCCTCCTGATCAGTGCTTTCCAAGAGGGTGGTTGTTTGATCCTCAGGTAGGCGGCTTGCCTCGACCGACTTGAGGTGACTCAGGTTAGCCAGGACGGTGACCACCACCAGACTCGTTAGCAGCTTCATTACAACCTCTCTTACCTGAGACAATAAGAGGAAAACGCGTGACTCAAATTTTTTGTTCAGTGATGCATCCAAGTTGGCTCTAACGTTCTTTCAACTTCTTGTTGAATATGATAGAACCTTCATTTTTTTCCCTATTATAACAAAAGAATTGATGTCTTTTGCAATGGGGTTATGCCCATCCGTGGAGGTATTACTCTATCAAATGTAGCATTAATCAAAGATACTGTGACTCTTATTTAGTAAATATTCCTCTAGCTATGCCTGTACACGGGATTGAAATTGTGCTTTCAGTTTTAAGTACAGCGTTTTGTCAAGGAATCTGATTCTACAAATAAAAATTGAAAAATGAGATTTTTTTTTTCTGTATAAATGTCAAAATCATTTTGTTAAACCTGTAACAAAAGTACTATAGGTAAGACACATATGCAACAGTTAGACAACTTTATTCCGAAACGTTTCGCCTACACAGTAGGCTTCTTCAGTCGAATACAGAAAGTAGGCAAAAAGTAGCCTACTTTCTGTATTCGACTGAAGAAGCCTACTGTGTAGGCGAAACGTTTCGGAATAAAGTTGTCTAACTGTTGCATATGTGTCTTACCTAACAACCTGTCGGTATTGTATACCATTTTGATGTTCAAAAGTACTATAGCTTTTACCTATGAGTGTTCTCTCAACAGAAAAATTAATGGAAAGTTAAAGAAATTTGCATTTGCAAAGGTAGAATCATAGCTCTTGGCCCCGCTTCTTAACTGGTAATGAGGTGGACGTACCTGTAAGAGTCCAGTGAGAGGTGTTGACTGTAGAAGTGTAACACAGACACTGGTTAGAGTGGTTGTCCCTGATCCATCACTCAGGAAACCTCACCCCCATTCTCCTGCTCCCCAACTCCCTTGCCCTGCTCTCCCTACGCTTTCTTCCCATCCCCCCCCTTTTGCTTCCATCCCCACTTTTTACCTTTTTTATTTAACAAAACTAGATACATGAGTAGTGTGTAAAGGAAGTTTGGGGAAAGAACTGTGAGGTAGTAAATGATTGAGAGTGAGTTTTACAAATGCATGTTGACACTTCACAGAGGAAGCTGTACAAGGACCCGAGTAAATGTTCGCAATAAAGCTAATATTCTTGGCTTCATATCAAAAAGTAGAAGTAACAGAAGTGCAAAGGTTATACCTCAGCTTTATATATCTTTGCTTAGACTTCATTTAGATTATGCTGCTCAGTTCTGGTCTCCGTATTACAAGATAAATGCGCTCGAAATATAGAGAAGAATGACGAAAGTTGATTCTGTCTTAGAAACCTTTCGTACTAAAATAGGCTGAAGGCATTGAACTTTTACTCTCTGGAAAGGCGTAGAATTAGAAAAGATATGATTAAAGTATAGAAATGGAAAACTGGAATTACTATTAATTCCAGTTTTCCATTAACAGCGTGTTAAAAATATCACAGCAGTGCATTCAAGTCGGAGAAATTTAGATTTAGAAAGGATATTGGGAAGTACTGATTTTGCAACAGAGTTGTAGATGAGTGGAACAAACTCCCAGATAGAATTTTGAGTAGCTTTAAATATAGGTTGGACGGGTACATGAATGTGTGTGAGAATTGGATTTTCCTAGCATGGGCCAGGAGACCCGCTGCAGTGTTCCTTCATTTTCATGTTCTTATTTTACGGCTGATTACAAGGTCAATATTGAACACTGCCGAATTTACGTTTCATTATAATGTGTGGACCAGTTTTTAGTAATCAGGAAGCATAATATATGTTTTGGCAACCTGTGTACATGCTTCAGAGTAACACTTATCATTAGTATATTTTATTAATTGTATGCATTAAGATTAGTTATAAGTATCAGAAACTTGATAAAACTTAGTGTTAAAGGTGCAAGTATTTGTCTTATGGTTTTTAGAGTGTCTGGCTGATATGATATTGTGTACTTGCATCGTCGTGTTTGTAGGGGTCAAGCAATAGCTCCTGGCCCTGCCTCGTAGCTGCTGTCAACTGACTTCACCAATTTCTGACCTTCAGAGCCTGATAGTACCTAGTCTTCAAACTGTGTGTGGTGGTTGTCTCCACCACCTCTTCGTCTAATGCGTTCCTCTCACAACCCGTGGATCACCGATGTCTTTTAGTGTTTCTCTCTCTCGTCAAGCTTCTCAACAGCCTGTCCCTAACTTCTAAAGTCCCCCAAGTATTTTGCATGTCACGATCATGTACCCTTACCCTCTGTTCCTTTTTTCTTCTTGGATTAGGTTTGTGAAATCTCTTAGAATGAAAAGTTAGGTAACGTCTTAGCGAACGGAGGATCGATCCTTCACCGTTTCTTGCACAGAATGACCCACGCGGGTTAAGCGCTTCACAATTACCATAGATGCAAGCGTGTATGTTATCCTCGTACATATCTGACGTGAGGGTAACATATATTAGGAACAGTATAAAGTCTCACTGCTGAGGCTAGTGGACACTGGCAGAATTTCTGGTTTTATAATCATGTTTCATAATCATGTAAGATAGCAAGTAACTGTTATAAATTTCTACTTATATTCACTATACACCTTGCTTTTCTGTGCTTCTTAACAGTTCTTATTACTGCAGTATCTCCTAAATATTTTTCTGAGACCGGGTAGCGAGGGCGGCGATTCCCGGAACCATTAACAGATATATAAGAACATAAGAACGAAGGAATACTGCAGCAGGCCTACTAGCCCATGCGAGGCAGGTCCAAGTCTCCTACCGGCTTAAGCCAATGCACCCAACCTAGTCAGGTCAGGTCACATTGACTTAAGGGAGGAACACGGCAACCGACCTGGTAGCACAAGCTATCAGGTCCAACTCACACCCACCCACATCCACTCATGTATTTATCCAACCTATTTTTAAAGCTACACAACGTTCTGGCCTCTATAACTGTACTCGGGAGTTTGTTCCACTCATCCACAACTCTATTACCAAACCAGTACTTTCCTATATCCTTCCTGAATCTGAATTTTTCCAACTTAAAACCATTGCTGCGAGTCCTGTCTAGGCTAGATATTTTCAGCACACTATTTACATCCCCTTTATTTATTCCTGTCTTCCATTTATACACCTCAATCATATCTCCCCTAATTCTACGTCTTTCTAGAGAGTGCAGATTCAGGGCCCTTAGTCTATCCTCATAGGGAAGGTTTCTGATACATGGGATCAACTTTGTCATCCTCCTTTGTACATTTTCCAGAGCAGTTATATCCATTCTGTAATACGGTGACCAAAACTGTGAATACTACTGTGAACACTACTTACCTGTTTAGAAGTTTTCTGCTATTATATATAGTATGAACTTTTTTTTATTCATCCAGTCTCTTCGATATTCCATGACATGATCAGTATTTTTCATGAAGTCTGTTTATCACTTTCTCACAACACAAGTGTTAAATTGTGTGTAGAGAAAGAGAGAGAGAGAGAGAGGAAGGGGAGGGGGCCTTCCCGAAGGCAGTTGTATTCCTGTTGTTTCCTTGTGTTCGTTGCCTTTTCTAAAGCAAAAATTATTCGTCTTGGGTCAGGTCAGTCTAATTCAAATAAAATTATTATAATAACGGGGAAGTGCTAAACTAGTATGGATCATACAGCGCCTGAGAAGTGGGAGGTAATCACGTGTGCTTTAAGCGTGAACCGTTTCAAGTACTCTTCTACTCATCCAGGCTTCCCCGTTGACTGCCTGGTCAACCAGGCTGTTTGTGCTAGCAGGATCACATAGCCATCACAACCTGAAGAAGGGGGACGGGAGCTTCAAATCCTCTAAGAGTCCTAAACCATCATCAAGACACCACCTCGAAGTGTATACACGCTAAGAAATAACTATAATCGGCGAGGACCGAAGACGTCATGTAAGAGCCTCGTCACGTATATATATATATATATATATATATATATATATATATATATATATATATATATATATATATATATATATATATATATATATACATATACGGGATAGATGAGCCACACACTTGCAGCAGTTAGTTATTTTTATCCTTGAAATGTTTCACCTGCTCTGAAGACTTACAGTCGAATACAGGTTTCCTCTGTTGACAGTAAAGATCCCCAACTGCTGCACTTGTTTCACTCACCTATTTGTCGTAACTATACCATTATTATATGAGAATAACAGACGACTAACTCTCTTCAAAAGAGGAGCTTGACATTTTGCTCTGGGAAATACCTGAGCAGGTAGACCGCTACGAGTTGCCAAAACAAACAACCTGACAGACCCGGCCACAGGTATGCCTGGTGTTTAGTCCAAGTGTGTTCGTGCAGGTGTTTAGTTCGTGTGTTCATGCAGGTGTTTAGTTCAAGTGTTTTCGTGCAGGTGGTTAATCCACTTGTTAGTACAGGTGGCTAGTTCAAGTGTGTTCGTGCAGGTGGCTAGTTCAAATGTATTGGTGCAGGTGGTTAGTCCAAGTGTTGGTGCAGGTGGTTCAAGTCTTGACATGGGTCGGTCAACCTCCATTATTCACTCCGGTGTACAGCTACAAATTACCATTTTAATTAATATTATTTTTTAAGCGTTATCCCTAAAAATTTAAATTAACAATAAATATGTAGATTAAATCCCTCTCAAGGGAGGTTCCTTAATGCTGGCGAGGGGCTCTTGATCAAAGGAATTGGACTTTCCTTTCTTTTCCCAAGCGTTGTATGACTCCTACAGGTTTAGTGCTTCCTAAAAATAATAAAAATACTGTTACTACTACTACTAATAATAATAATAATACTAATACGCACATTGAAACCAACAGACATTTGTCGTCTTAAGGATTTTCAGAGTGTCATAATAAATTTATCCTAATTTACGACACTGACACTAACAAAGGCAGTCACATGTGATGGACAATACACCCCCTGGCTTGACGTCAGACAGGATTTCCTGGATTCCACGAATAACAGTTGTCTCCTCGGATAGTCCACTATTTAACATGTGTAGACAAGGCGTAAAGAAACTCATTGCTTGAATAAAGGTTAAGAGAGTACTGAACGGAGACTAACATGGTCACTACATACCAGGCCCAACGCTGTAATTACTCAGACACGGATCTTACATGGGATGATATTTTACAACCGGCACACCTGTCAGCAATCAACTGTGATTCTACTGTCTCATCTCATAACCCCAGAAGCTTTTATGGTACATCTATTCTCAAAGCCAGACAGATAGTCCATAAACCCAAGATAAGTCAGTGAACGAAGATAATATTCTTTAAAACATTGCAACCAAGTATATACTGCTTCTTCATCACTTACATATGTTGATGAGGCAGAAGTTAAAACTGTGTACAACTTCGTCACTCCACCCCTTAACTGTTTTTTTTCTTCAGTATGGAATAGTTTACCATCACATGACATTAAGCGGGCCTTTCCCGACTCGTCAAATATAACCAGGTCGACATTAGTCCATGGTGTTCATGCACTCTGGTTGTCTGTTCAGTATGTACATTTTGAAGAAATTTTTTAGAGCACTTTCTTCGTTCTTATTTTTTGCTGTTAGTATGAAGTTTGCTTCCGCCACTTTCTCTTGTAACTCGTTCAGCATTAACATTACTATTAGATTCAAGAATAATGTTCAACTTTGTCGATGTGTGTCTATTCCTGTCCCTCTAATATTCTCCTTTTACCTTTGCTTCACCTTTAATATCTTGTATTATGTGATTCTATCTCTCGTTCTTTACTTAAGTGTGGCACTGCATAATTATTAGTCTGACTTATGTTTAATGTTCTGAAAGATACTTTACATTACTTAAAACAGTTCTTAACACTGTCAACATTACATTACCGAGATGATGTGCTTGATGTGTGTCTCAAAGTAATCTGTGACACATTCTCCTTGTTATATGTTTCTTCCCTCCAAAACTAT